CATCCTTAGTTTTAGTTAATCTCATTCTGTGTTTATAGAGTCTATTTTAACATCACCATCATCATCATCATTGTAAATCTAATTAATTCAGTTTTTTCAAAATATTTCATCATTCGAGAAAGAGAAATTAGACAAATTTCATTTGTAAAAAATCAAAAATCAATAATCAAGGTGATGATGATAATGATAGGGTTTAACTATTTCAGTTTACGTTCTGATTCATTTTGTTTCAATCAATAATTTTCATTTTCTTTTCAATTTTTCATTACTAAAATCAAAAGTAACAAAAATGGCTACGTCCTTCAACAATGGACAACATTATTAATTCAAAGGTAGAAATAGCCAATAGTTTTTTCGCAAAAAAAAACGAAAAATTTCAAATTTCATTTGAAAAAAACACGTACTTTTTGTAGATTATCATCATAATGATGAAATCTGATATATTACTTATTGAGATTGACATTGATGATAAAATCAATAATCTTTTCATTTTTCATTTCACCGAACGAACAAAACAACAAGAAAAAAGACAATAAACGAATGAAACACACACACACACACATATTCTATTGTATATCATCATTAACAGTATTTTTCTTCATTGTGAAACAATTTTATCGTTTTTTTCTTTCAAACGATAATGATTTCCTCATCCTTATCATTATCATCAATTTTTTTAAAAAGGTCAAAAAAAATGATCTTTTCGTACTTGAATCATCCATCAACAAAGATATTGAATCAAAGATTTTTTTTAAAAAATGACCATCATCATTATTATCATAATGACATCATTATCATCAATTGGCAAATGATTGGGTGGAAATAGTCAACAACGAAAGAAAACTCCTTGATCTATTTCCACTATTGATAGATAGTGAGTGATGATATTTTGGATCAACTATTTCGATCCAAATATCCTTTTTTTTTTGCCGAAAATTCATCCCTTTGAAATAGGCATTCAAATCACGATATGTTTCAATTATTTCATGCACGAAATACGATTATATAACAACAACAAAACAACGAAACATAATATAGTAATTTTCTCTCACACTCACTATGTATGGCAACTAGTGTCATGATATGTCATGTAATCATCATCATCATCATCATCATTTAAGAAAAAAGCAAAAGAAAGAACAAAACTTTCGTCATAGTCGATGGATGCCAACATGATCATGGTTCGGTTACCGAAAAAAAAACAGAGACACCGAGACACACACACACACTGACATAAGAGTTATGGATGGCAGAGAATGTTTAATTTTAGCAACCCAAAAATTACACATAAAGACATGTTTTGATTTCTGAAAAACAAAAAAACTTTGAAATTTTGAATAATTTTCTTCAAATTTAAATAAAATAAAGATTATTACAATAATGGATAATTTATGAACAAGAGAAACTATGTCTGTGTCTGTCTGTTTGTCTGGGTCAAAAAACTTTTCGATGAAATCTTGAGTGATGTAATGTTGCATCATAGAGCTAGAATATTCTTGGGTTACCAGACACACATACACTATATAGACACTAGAATATAAAGATTGGAAACAGCCGAATATATTTCAAGAATATTCTGTTTGTTTGTTTGTTTGTTTGTTTAGCTGGCCAAACAAAACATATTGCAGGAAAAAAACACTCAAATGATATTCTTCAATGCGACAAAATTAACCAGAAGAAAAAAAACCGGTATAACCGAAAAAGTCACACCCTGTATAATTTTTTCATCAAAAAAAAACTAAAAAAATCAAGTCAAAAGATCATTGAATCAATCGATTTTGATCTTTCGATGAAAGAAAAATTGGGACAAATCAATCAAAAAAGATTTTTTTTTTGGGAAAAAATCGGTGACACAAAGAGAGAAAAGATTTCAACAACAAAAGATCAAAAAAATCGAAATGACACAGACTAACACACGCACACAATCCTTTGATGACATTTCATTCAAGCAAAGAATTTTTTGATTGATAAAAAACAAAGAATTTTTGATAGAAAAAAAACATTCTGGGCTTACTTATTCGATACAGAATTTGATATCATAGAGAATCTGATGAAAAGAATTTGAAAAAACACAAACTAAAAAAAATCAGAATTTTATGATGAGATACCGGTGCAATGCGGATAAAATAATGATGACGAAGACGACGAAGACAGACACTAAACTAAAACGAATTAAAGTATAGCTTTTTGGAAATATCTTTTGTGGAAACAAAAAAAAAATTGATTCAAACATGCGTCGTGTTTTCTTCGATTCAATTCGTCATCATCGTCAATGCAGATATTATTCTCTCTGTATATGTTTGATAGAAACTGAATGAAAAATTATTTGAAAAAAAAGAAGAAAAGAAAATTGCTACTTGAACAGCCAACAACCAACAATGAAAATAAGCTATTGGCCAATTTGGCCAACAACAACAACGAAGAAGTCTCTTCCAATAATGTTTTCTGTTGTTGTTGATGTTATTATTCTCTATTATCCAACTCTTTCGTTCTTCCTTCTCTCTCTTGTTTTGTTCATCACAATCATCAAAAAAAAAGGTTGTTTTGCCTCAATGATAATGATGATGATGATAATAATGTTGATGAAATTTTGGGGTTGTGGCTTTTCTATATGTTGAAATGGATGACTAATTCAATGATTGTTTCTGTTGTTGTTCATCCTATCATAGCAATAAATGATGGGAAAATTTCTCAGAAAGAATTCGTTTGGGGGGAAAGGTAACAAAGTGGAAATTGATTTTCGAAGAATTAAAGAATAAAACAAAACAAAAAACTTACTTTAACCATAAAAAATGATAGATCCAATCAAATATTTCACCATAAACATTATTGAATTTTATACGATAATTTGATAATTGTATACCATCGAATGATAAATTTTTATTTTTATTTTTTTTCTTTCGTAATACAACTGTTGATGTTTGTAAGGCATTTGCTGTTGTTGGATCGGCAATCATATTACTATTGTTATTGCCATAACCATAATCATAACCACCACTGTTACCACCACCACTGATCATTGATGAAAATGTCCGCAACGATGATGATGTTGATGATGTTTTCGTTAATGATTGATTCAATTTTTTAAATCTTAATTCACATTGATAATCATCCAAAAATTGTTTAATTTTTTCAATTAAAAATGGTGATAGATTTTTATTTTTGACCATCGTTTCTTTCAATGACGTAGTCGTCGTCGTTGACGACTTTGATGATATTGTTGGTGGTGATGATGACATTATTGACAGCTTGTGTGGTTATTATTATGAGGTGTATTTTTTGAAGGGAAAATGATGATAGGCACTTTTATCCTGAATTGAAAAATGTAGCGAATCAAAATAAAAAATGTAGCAAATAGGATGTGTCAAATCGATAAAATCAACAGGTTGTCAATATGTTGAACACACAGGGTTGATTTCCAAGAAAAAAAAAGTTCATTTCGTTTTTCCTGACTTGACGTTTTCATTTCATTGAAATATATTATAACGGGAAAATCTTCTATATTGGTAAAAAAAATACAAGAAGCGAAACAAAACAAAATTATTATTATTTCATCATCAAATGCCAAACATTCATGGAAAACACCTTTATACCTTTATATAATGATGATTATCAAATCAAATTAAATTAAATGGTTTTGACCAATGAATAATATGCCAAAAAAAAAGAAGAAAATTTTCATTTTTTTTAACCATTAATCAATCGATCAAATGATGATGATGAGCAATCAAATTTTTTCAACAAAAAATATAAAAGGCACTGTTGAGAAAATCAAACATAAAAAAAAATTTCAATAACAAAATAATTTCGTGAGCAAAAAAGGACAAATGTTTTTCAATTTGTTTTGTGTTTGATATTTTCAATCATTATTTTCATATTTTGCTTAATAATAACAAAGTAAAGCAGGTGTTGATTGAATGAATTTCAATATTCAAAAAATTTTCTTTTTTTAAAAAACACACGTTTTCTTCAGCTATTGTTTTCAATCATATTTTGTTGTTGTTGTTCAGTGTTTCTTGCTTAAAATGATTTCGTCGATCAATCGATACGAAAATCAATGTTTTTTGAATTTTGATTTTGATTATTATCGTTGCTGCTATTGTTGATGTTTTTTGGTTTGACGTTCGAAAATTCGAATCATTTTGGTTGGATGCAAAACACACTGAGTCACACTCAACGTAATATTCATTCAAAACTTTTTCATATTTTTTCCGCATTTAAATTGCGATCCAATTTTGAAACCAAAAAGTTTTTTATTTTTTGTTTTGTTTTGGTATCCTTGATCAAAACAAAACAAAACAAAATCTTTATTATCCAAAAAAAAAACAATAAATAAATTTTTGGATTCATTCATAGAGATAATTACATTTTTGACCATTGATTTGACTCAATTTTTTTCACTCTTTTTTAAAAATCCATTTCCATTTTTGATTTCATTTTTCAAAATTCTTGAATCATTTCAGAAATTAATGTTTTAAGATTCTGTAACGAAAAAATCTATTTAAATTCTGTGTTTTTTTTAATTCTAGAATTTTTTTTCAAATAAAAATTCATTTTTTACGTTCTTTATGACGGGTTTTGAAACTTTTTTATTTTGTTTTGTGTGTGTGTGTGTGTTGAACTCGCACTGGCCACACACAAACCTGAACACTGTCTTTTCCTTTTCCCCGTGCGTGTGCTGCGTGTGTTTGTTTCATTTGTGGCATGTGGTATGTATTTTTTCTTAAATTTTTCTGAAAATTTCCAATTTTTCAATCAATTTTACTAATTTCTAATTTCCAAATTACCGTTTTTTTGTTTCACCAGATTCATTTTTCACTGTTCTGAAAATTTGCTGAAAAAAAACCAGAAGAAAAATCCTAAAAAAACAGCGACAAAAACCAGACAAACATGCAATTATTTGTCAAAGGACTATCAGGCCTACTGGTAGTGAATGTAAATCCATCGGATACTGTTGGTAAACTTAAATCCTTGATTGAAATCAGTGAAGGTGTTGAATATCATAAACAACGATTAATTTATGGTGGTCAACCATTGGAAGATTTAGAAACAATCGAATCGTATGGAATTGAAAATGAATCAACAATTCATATAACATTTGGTGGTTTGTTAGGTGGTGCTAAAAAACGTAAGAAGAAAAATTATACAACACCAAAAAAGAATAAACATAAGAAAAAGAAGGTTAAATTGGCCGTATTGAAATTCTATAAAGTTGATGATAACGGGAAAATTACTCGTCTTCGTCGTGAATGTGAAAATAAAGAATGTGGTGCTGGTGTTTTTATGGCCAATCATGTTGATCGTCATTATTGTGGTCGTTGTGGATTGACATTAGTCTATAATAAACCAGAAGATAAATAAATGATGATCGGGCGACGACCAGGAATGGATTCCTACACATTTTTTTTTTGTTTACCATTCTTTTTTTTGATTTGAAAAAAACAAAATTCTGGATTTGAAAAATAAAAAGAATTTTTCCACAAAAGTGTTTTGGGTTTTTATTTATTTAAAGTAAAAATTTTTCAATCATTTTCTGTACAAGGATCTGCAATCCTCTTGAATTTAGCATACCAAATTTGTCCACCATTACGTTTAACTTTTTTTCCTTCTTCGGTTAATGAAAATTTTTCAATTATAGGATCGTCATCTTTGATTTCAATGAATAATGGATGTTCCATGAAATGTTTAAACATCCAATCAAATAATTCTTTAACATCGGTTGCAAAATAAGCATAGCCATCAATACGTAAAAAATATGCATATTCGGATAATAATTGTTGGCTAATAATACGCCATTTATGTTTTTGTTTTTTAAAATGTGGATCCGGGAATAGGAAAAATATCTTGGATAATTGTGATTTACGAAAAAAATTTGGTAAATATTTCATTGCATTACTACGTATACAATTTATATTATTAAATTGTCCAGGGTTTTGTATTCGTAATGCACGTATACGTTCAACAACATAATCCGATACTTTTTGTCGTATTTCGATACCTTTGTGATTTGATTGATCAAAAATAAAGAGAAAATTATAAGTAAAAAAAGATTCTAAAAGATCAACAAAAATAATTACCCAACATTAATGATCGAGGAAATAATGGTGATAATTCAATTAAAAGACCACCATAACCACAACCAATATCAAGAAATTCTACTTGTGGATTATTAAATTCGGAATTTTTGTTTTCATTCGAATAAATTGGATAAAATGATGACCAATCAACATCATCCGGTATTATTGGATAATCATCAAAAAAATGATCAGCAATTGGATTTGAATGTGCACGTTGTCGATAATAACGTTTTTGTGGTAAACATATTGATAATAATTCTTTTTTTCTTGATGATGATGATAATTGTTCTGGCTTTTCCATTTCTACTTGTTCATCCATGGTTGTTTCGATCGAAAAATCATTCAGAAAAAAAATTATCATCGAATGGTTACCATCGATCATCGAATGGTCATCAAACAAACATTCGAAAGACACATGTATTCAATCGAATCGAAAAAACTCATGGCCACTGCCGACATCTAGTGGCCGTTGGGAAAAACTTGAAAATTTTTAAATTTTCAAGTTTTTTTTCCAAAATAAAAAATTCAATTCAATAAAATTTCAATTTAAAGTTTTTTCTTTTTCCGATTATTTTCATCGTAATTATGTGAACAAAATATAATTACCGGGAAAATTTTTGTTACCCGATTGAAATTCAATCATTTCAGAATTTAACAAAAAAAAAGTTTTTCAACGAAAAAAAAACTGGAAAAAAACCTGAAAAGAAATCCGATAACGGCCGACCAATCAATTACATCCTGTAACTAATAATCCCAGAGATCCATTCAGTGAAATAAGAGTGAAATTGATTTTAACAACAACAAAAAACTGAAAAAAACGAAACCCAGAATTTTTGCTATTTTCAAAAAAAAAAAAAATTCTTTATTCTCGGTTATCATCAATAGAATCATCTTGTTATGAAATTCTTTTCGATTCTTTTCTTTTATTCTGACAAAGAATGAAAAAACAGGGAATGAAAAAAAATAAATGCTTTCTTAATTTCCGTTTGTTTGATGAAATTTTCGTTGTTGTTGTTGTTGTTGATCTTGTTGTTGTCGTCATCTTGTTGTTGTTGTTGTCATTATGTCAGCAACAACAACAACAAAAATCTGACATATTTTGTTTGACATTTAATTATCATCATCATTTAAGTAAGTACAGAAGATGATGATTAAATCACAGAAACGGATACAAGACACAAGACAGACAAATCAATGTTTTTTGCTTTGTTTTGTTTTGTGTTTTTCAATCAAAACGATAAAGAAGATTATTTCAAACAGCAACCAACCAAAGAAGAAGATCAAGCAACAACAAAAAAAATGAAACACTAAATCAAATCGATCGATACTATCGATCGATATAATCGATATTTTATGGAACAAAAGAAAAAAAACAGGAAGCATACTTTATATTGAAAAGACTTTATTATATGAAAAAACGAAAAAGAAAGAAAGAAAATGTCTGGAATGGAGAATTTGGATTTTTCGCTGTTGTTGTTGTTTTGTTGGTTGTCTTAAATCTTGTCTTTTTTTCCGGTTAAATCTGGTTTTCCTCCCCTAATGATATTAATTAGCAGTGTATAAACAATCGAAATCAAATCGATTTATAATCTCTCTCTCTCTCTCTCTCTCTCTCTCTCCCTTTGATCGATAATTTACAATATTGATAATGATAATCATCACCTTCTTCTTGAAACAAAAAAAAAAATCTTAGCTTTGTTTTACGGAATTATAATTTTATAATTTTTAATAAAAATAAAAATTTTAATACACGAAAAGTAATTCAAAAGATAAAAGAAAAGACATTTACACTTGGGAATTTCAAAAATTGTAATTATTATATCAAACACACACACACCGTACAAACACATAAATTAATGATATTCCTTGGAAAACAAAAAGCAGGTAATGTGTCTTTAGGTGTGTGTGTTCAGGAGAGAGGATTCAGAGAATATTCTCTATTGATTCAAGGCTATAACCGTTGGCAACCGAATATTGGAGAAGAGAAAATCATCATAAGGAATCCTACAGAATCATTATTATTATTATCACCAAAATGACAATTTTACTGATTGTAACATCACCATCATTATCAATATTTTTTCAAAGGGGGAAGAGGGAGAGAGAAGAAAGGAAGGGAAGAAGAAAAGAATGAAAGATTCGTTCATTCATTTTAATAGATTCTTTTCAATATTTTATCAAAACAGAATTACAGAATTGAATAGAGAATTCCTTATTATTGAATTAAATATTAAGAATTTTTTTCTATTCTTTCGATTCTTTGATTTTTTTTTGTTCGATTCTGTTGTTGTTGTTATGATAAGAGGGAAAGAGAGGGAGAGAGAGAAATCCTCATAATGAATGATAATGATGTAATGATTATATCCCGAATTTTTTATTTTTTGATAATGAATCTTTGTGTGTGTGTGTGTATGTATGATGTAATCAGAATTACCACTAGCACATTCAAGTCGAAATAGCGGTCTTGTATTTGTGTACAAGTATGGAAAGTTCTTGTTGATAGTGATGATGATAAGCAAAGAAATTTTTTTTTTCAATGCGCACAATCATCAAATCGATCCAATTGGAACTTTCATATCTGAAAACATGAACAGACTTCAAACCAAAGATAGAAAAAAAACCATTCGCGAATCACAATGATGATAACGACTTTAGGATGGAGAAAAAATTCTTTTCATAACATTATTATTTGGGGATCGTAAGACCTACATTGAACAAGATTTGTTTTTCATATATTGGCGCCCAAAACATGAAAACATTATTCTTTTTTTTGGGTGGAAAAAATTGTGAAATTGTAAAATTCTAGATTCTGGTTGTTCGGGCATGATTTTTGTTTTTGTTGTTTTTAGTTTGATAAAAACGAAAAGTGAAAACATCAACGAAATAATGATAAAGTGATATATGTGCTTTCGTGTGTATGATATGTGATGTTATCAATGATGATTTGTTTTAGAGTTTTTTTTTTGTTGAAAATGTGTTTGTTCGGTTATCTTGTGATGATTCGAAGAGAATGATCATCATGTTTTATCGGATTTTCAAAGTTTTCCCGAAAAGTTTCCCCCAAAAAAAACCAACAAGAATTTCCTGAAAATCTATTTTAACATTTTCTGATTTTGTTGTTCATCATCATCAATCAATCAATCGTCTATTTTAACATCTACAACCAACACCACCACCAAATAAAAAAAACGTAAGCGAAAAAACATAATTCATACGTGATAATAAAAAAAACAACTACAACCAGCAATTTTTCCCTGAAACCAAAACCCAAAAAACATTTTTACTGGCTATTTCGACTCAATTCAATAAAAAAAAATGTTTTACGGTAATAAAATGAATGAAATGAAATGAATGTGAAAATGATGAATCAAAATAATCATTTTCCTTTCTCCATTCATTCATTCATTCATATTTTTTTGGCTTTGATTTTCATATTTATGGTGGCTGAATGTTATTTTTTTCCCTTCAGATTCCATAAAGATTCACATCCAGTTCAAATTTTATTTACATTTTTTTTTCTTTATCGTCCGTAATATTTCTTCAGACGATTTTTATTATTTACTTTCTTTTCTATTCTACCCAACGAAAAAAATATGGATAGTTTTTTTTTGTTGTTAACCCTCACCACCCCCATCATCGATTCTGGCCTTTTTTCTCGGTTTGGTTGAATAAAAAAAAAACCTTGAAAGTCGATAGGGAAAATATTTTATACTGTGTGTGTGTGTGAAATATGACTTTTTGATATGATTTTTATTATTATTATTACAGAATCTGGATGCTTGTTGTTGTTGTTGTTGTTGTGAATAGTAAAAAAATTTTATTTTATTTTTTTCAAAGCAAAAGAATTTAAGAATTCTTGAAAGTTCTTTTTTTTATTTTCTCAAATCTAAACATTTTATTCAACAAAATGAAATTCTGGAATTTTGGTTTGGCACTTTGAATTTTCTTTTTCTACTTCTTCTGGTTCGATTACACACCAACACAGAATCTGATTATAATTTTAAATTTGGTTTCAGACCGCTCGTTTTTTTAAAAAAAAATCCTTTTGGTTGTTGTTGTTGTTCGGAAAAAAATCCAGATCGAAATTTCAACAACAACAACAACAACAACAATTGAAAAAAAAGTGAAATTTTGGTTTAATTTATACCATTTTGTTTGATGTTTTTTCCTTTTTCAAATTGATTTTTTTTTCTCGATTGTATCGCGATACAATCGAAAAAATTTTCGTTTCTATTTCCACCCAATAATAATGATGATGATAATAAAGAATCTGTCTGTTATCAAAGATAATATCTTAATAATCTTAGGGCATGAAAAAACAACAACAACAACAACAGCAAAAGATTATTATTTTCTTTCAGATTCTTGTTGTTGTTGTTTCCTCAGGTATGTTTTACCTGTATAAAACATATTAAAGAAAGAATTTTTTTTTGATAACGAAAAACTTTTTTGTTTCGCTGTTGTTGTTGTTGTTGTTACGTGACAATTATTCTTTCATTCATTAACAGCAATTTGCTGCTGTTTCAAGGTTAAATATTCTATCTTTAGATGAAAATTTTTGTTACTAGGTCAATGTTGTTGTTGTTGTTCGTTTTGTTGTTGTTGTTCGTTTGTTGTTGTTGTCATTTTGTCTTCCTTGATGATGATAATGAGAATTTCTGAAAATGAGAACAAAAAAGATGTAATGAAAAAGTTGTTGTTGTTGTTGTTTACATTATTCATATCGCTATCATCATCATGATGAATTATAATTAAAATTATCAATTATTAATCACTTTTTCAAAACAAAAAAAAAGTTCTCACACTTATCATCACCATCTTATAACCGAACAAAAAAAAAAGTTGGATCATTGCATGTTATGATCGGGTAGATATAGTCGAATTTTTGTAATGTAGGTGTACTTTTTTGTTTTTTTCGTCTCCAGAAAAAAATTATTACATAAATTTCGTGACTAGAACTAGGATCATCATGTTAATTTGACACTTTTCATTTTCACTTTCAAAATCCATCATCATCATCATCATCATCATTTTGAAACCAAAACAAAATTCTTTGTTATTGCTTTTTTTCTCTCATCCATTCTGGATCAAAATATTATTAATAATTTTTTTTTGTTGTTGACAATTTTCACTTTGTTTTCCGTCAATATTGATGATGATCACATGATTATCGTCGTTTAATTAATAAAAATAATTTTCTCCGGTTGATGAAACGAAAATCTGTTTTGTTTTTGGCATCTCCATCCACCCACAAGAATATATCCACACAGCCGGCCGACCGGAGGTGGAAATTGAATTCGAATCCATTCTTTTTTTGCTGGAAATTTTTTTCAGAAATTTTCCGAAACAAAAAATCCAGAAAGATTTCTATCAATGAATTTTCATTTGGTTTGTTTGTTTGTTTCACGTGATTTTCATTTAGC